GCATAAGGTACTGGAGAAATCACGGATATGTTGGATGGGGTACCTGTCTGGGATAGTGGCGTTATTGAGAGAACGGTAATCTCCAAAAGGTCTCCAATCACCTTTGGATTTCTTGGGTACCATATGTAGGAGTGACGATCAATGACTCAATGAAGCGCGAATGCTGAGTTCAAGCCTGTTTTCGAACTCGTGTTTTACGACTTGTAGATTATCCGGATGAAGTCAGCGGGGATTGGTATGGACAGGTAAACCTCTCGTCTGGATGTGGTGAACGACGGAATGAGTGACCGGTTGAGTGTACTGACATGGATGAGTAAGGGTTGGAAAATCCTTAAGTATGTCAGCAAAATGTGAATCCGGTAAGATAACCCGAATACCTGTGGATGAAGTTGGGGCACTAATTCCGTTGACTGAGAGGGAAGTTAGCATGTCCAAGAGGCGTTTGTGTCGAACACTGACAGACAAGTTGTAGTGGGCCAGGAAGTCTGCACCGATGATGGGTGTTTGGACGTCGGCCAAAAGAAAAATGCTCTTGAATGTACTTCTCAGTCTGAGGTCAGGGGTGAGGGAACTTTCGCCGTATGTAGCGATGCGGGTACCGTTAGCGGCTTGTAAGGAGAAAGAAGGAGAATCGGGAAGTGGATTCTTGTGTGGTAGCACACTAACTTCAGCTCCCGTATCTACGAAGAAACGTCGACCACTTGAACGAATGGTGATGTGGAATAGGGGACTAGTGCGAGGAGGGCTACAGGCAGTCGTCTCCGTTACTGACTGGCCGGGGTGTTTAAAGGGGTTTTGGAACGCGGCTTGAAGGAACAGGGCGGTTGGCATTTGCGTGCTTGAGGACCGAAAGTTTGATGATGCCAGCACCAAGAGGGATGGGCACGAGAGAACGATTGGGATCGTGAACGTGGTCGATGCTTGTTGATCTCTAGCCGTTGTAGGCGATCGGTCAAAGTATCAAACTTAGCTTGTAGTTGCGATATGGAAGCAAGAGTCGGGTCGGAATCTGTAGAAGCAGTGGGCGTAGGGCGGGAGGCGGAGTTTACGGGGTTACTGGGGTAGGTCTCGTGGATTTTATCGGCCGTTCGGGCTAGCTGCTTCAAGCCGTGGTCATCAATAAAAGCACTCATGGCGTGGGACATGGAGGGTGGGAGTTTGTCGAGCCATAGTTGGGCCAGGATTTCAACCGCTAGCTTACGGCCGCAGAGGAGACTGCGCATGTGGCGAAGCAGTTGCGCTGGTGATCTGTCCCCAAGTTCGACAGTGGTGAATAGATCCCGTAGCATCTTGTTTTCTGATTTCCCTGTCCTACTTATGACGGCCGCTCGAAGGGCGTCATACGGATTTTCCTGGGGAATATCTTCCAACAGATCTTCAACTTCTGTTGCTACATCACAAAGAGGATGCTGGACAACATAGGAAAACTGGGTGACTTGGGAATTGATGCGTCGGGTGGTAAAAATGGCATCCACCTGGTGAAATCATACCCTGGGACTGCGGGGATCATAGTCTGGTAAACATATGCTTATTGCATTCTCGACTAAATCAGCTGAATCAAAGTATGCCTCCACAAGGACCGGGCAAAATAAATAAAATTACGTCGACTTGAATTAAAACGTCTCCAAAAAAATATCTAGAAAGACTCGGGCTCACCAAATTTGCAGTGGTCTTGCTACCCAATAAGTTACTTTACCAGGAGTGTGTGGCAAAGGAATAAAAATAATAACGCTAGATTGGGTATACAATAATAAAGAGGTTAGATGGAAAAGACTCACTAATAATTATTCTCATTAAAATAGTTCGTCGTTGGCCAAGGTCAGCGAAGAAACAATAATCCAATTATGGTGGTCCAGGGATCTTCTTCTGAACAGTTCCCACATATAATAGAGTCCGAAGATGGTCTGAAATGTCTTGATACCAGAGTTAGCACATGAGACTTGCGAATGACCACTGCAAGCGCGCGCGAAACAGAAGAGTGAGTCGAAGCGCGTGGCCAAGTTTGTACTGCGTGAGTTTTGTGCAAGTGCGCGTTTTTGTAGTTCTTCGTATTCGAACAAAAGACGATTATGCAATTGACGAAATACGTGGTGTTATAACGAAAGCAAAACAAAGATGCGAAATACCACAATGTCAGGGAACGGTGCTTCGGCCTTATGCACTAGCACTCCAAAATACTTAACATCTAAGTTCCATCTAACAGCGATACAAGTGAGTCTACTCAGTTTCGGTGTAAGCCTTACTTTTGAGACGAAAATTCCAAATTGTCTCAAACACGAACTTCTCCATCTCTTCATCCCCACTTGAGTTTCTCGCAACCTTGACGTTAACTCAAAACCACCCAAGGATCTAGCTAGCAACGGTTAAAGCACAATTCAACCGGCTTCATTACTGAACAAGCCGTAACTCATGCCCCATGGTTCTAATTTGCTTGTTTCCCACAATTTACAATCACTAGTCACGTGGCAAGCATCTCCCTATGGTTTTGCCTTCCTCACTATTGTTATGTTTCGTGGCGCGTTTAGACTGTAATGGCCCGATCATGCCTCAATGGGCATGCTCCATACAACTGGGAAAACAAACCAATTATTATTATTATTAGTGCCAATAATGCAAATCCGTAGTGTTGCACCTTAACTGGGCGCAGTGCGACGCCGTGTTATTAGCATGTTTTTGAGGTAGGTGGATGGAATAAGTAGGAGTCCTTTCGTGTTTTACAGATTTGCTCTGGATTACTTGGTAGAAATTTACTGGAAGTCGGGCCCCATAGTGTCCCTTATTTCCATCGCAGATTTTCGGTAGGTTCGGTGCAGACACAGCCTTGTATTTTGCACCGAAAACTGAGTAAGGTCCATGGGAGAATGAGGCTAAGCTGAGGAGTTGTTTGACGTTATGTATGCGGAGTTCATGGTAAACATCAACCTATGAAGATTTGCGTTCAAGGCCACCCGTTCGGGTTCCGCGGTGGTAACGGCGACGTTTTGGTTTCAGAAAAGAAGCTTCACTTCTAACGATGGGAGAGAAAAATGGGTGCCTTTGCTTGCAGACGCTTCCGCAATGAAAGCCCTTACCACAAATTGAGGGGAAATACATGCCAAGTTATTCCACCACGACTTATGGACTGTTAATTCCCCATTCAAAAGCGCAAAACGTTACATGCACACAAGCCTAATAAGCCCAGAAAATATTTCTTTGAAATTTGTGTATTAGTGGACAGGGAAACATAAGTAAACGTTCTCATTAGCCTAGATCCAATGAAAAACAAACTGCAGGACATAAGTCGATGGTCCGATTCACTGAATAATGGGTGACTTATTCACTAAGCAGTATAACATCAACACGTCCAACTTCTCCTGGGCTCGTGCTTTAACTGGCACTCTAACGAAGTGGATTTGCCTAATCTTATCCTGCTGCTCTAACAATAAGAACATGGTGAATTGCAAAAAAGTTTCTGCTAATGTGTGTTTTGCAGCCTGTTTAATTTAAAGGCATTTTATGGACATGTCCTTCGAAAAATGCAGCCAAGATAACATTTATCACTAGTCAGAGGAACAAGTTTGTGGACTTAAATTTGTGTAGAATGTTCTAGGGATTACCGGTTCCTTAAATATATGTTTCCATCTTTGATAATTTATGATGGTTCGTCAAACGAATTTACACAATAAGCTTGAATTCCCGTGAACACTACACGGCGTACTTCGGTTTACCTCAGCACACCGCTTTTAGTATTAGTAGCAGAGTTAGGGAAATTTGACGTGATAATGATTGGTTATGGGAGCACCTGGGGTAGAAGAGGTCTGTACATACTACGCAGACATAGGTAGACAAAATTTGATAAGAGACAAACCTCCAACCTCCACCGAGTAAAATCAAGTGAAAACTATTCCAAGTGAGGCGTGAGTATATAATTGCGGGAGGAGTAGAGATTTTCATAATCTTGATGGGAATCCAACCCAATCGTCCAATAAGCAAGCGGTTGCGAGTTTGAACTATTGTCCAAGGGCGTCTACTTAGGGTCCTATTCAACACTTACTGCTGTTTTCCCGTCTGCTCCTGAGTCATTTTATGGAATTTTTGAATGGGGCACAAACCTAACTCGGCTTGCGTTAGTGAAACTGCAGTCTCATAACAAGAGTTTTCAAGTCTTGTAGTTTTAGAAAAGGCGATCAATTCTTTGAAAAGTCATGTCAAAGATGTAGGAGGTGCGCTTCTCCTAGGGGCTTATGGACGAAATCGGTCCCAGAGTCTTTCGCTGATAGTAGGTTGCTGATTGCACTCCACAGCGTTGAACAAGTTCCTTAAAGGAATGCTCCAAATTGCATGTGTCCAACAGTTTTATCAGCCGTCCCCTATTTAACACAGCTACCTACCCCACCTCCCCAAATCATCAGTGAACGAAACTGTGGCACTAGAGCCATCGTACGACAAGTACGCGATTATTACAGCTGACAATGACGATGATGCTCATAGCATTGCGGCAAATCCATACGTTAAACTGAGATTTCATTATATGAACGAGGTAAACCATGCTGGAAGGCCGAGAAGTATTTTACAGATGTTTCATCCTTAGCACGAGTAATCAACACTGCGAACCAGTCACACCGCTTTCCAGTCACTCTTGACCGAACGGTTAAGAGATCAAATACTAGCTGCAAGGTTGTAGGTTCACAACTCCTTGAGTTTTTTGGGATGCGCACCGCTGGTGAATCCCAATAAGAATGAAGCAGCTGTGCAGGGCTCCTCGGCTTTTCAGTATAGACTGGCCTCACCGACAGAACGAACTCTCAATTGAAAATTGCAGAATTTCCTCACACTATGATGAATCCACGTTCCTGATAAAGAGACAACAATACGAACTGTTGATCAGATGATATGAGTCATGGCCGTACTGCATTTTAAGTTCGCTGACAGATCGATAAAATGCGGAACACGTGATCTGGCAGAGGCATGCGGCAGGCATAATGCGGCGAATATTTTCAACCAACTGGGGCCAGTTCAGCATGAAATTAATTTTTACTGCCGTTACACTCCAACTCGCAACCACGTTGTTTATCATTCTGTGGCTATCGATGATGTCTCAGCAAAACAAGTCTAGGCTTTCAAAATCAGCTGATTTGGACAGCAAAAGTCAACAGAAAATAACGGATGTGCTCAAGTTAAAACCTGATGAAGTAACTCGCTGGGAAGCACTTACGGAACTTGACGGAGCCAAGTACTACGGACCAGAAGCATTCAATGTGAAAAACTGCAGTAATGATGCGTTCGTCAGTTTTGAAACGCAGGTGTCAACAATTCGCAAATACACGTTTATTGGAACAGAACTGTTCAACTATATGCAAAATAAAGACGTTGTTGAGAAAATCTGTCAGTTTAAACAGAGGAGATCCATTCTGAATGACGCGTCAGAATGGCAAGATTATGAGTTGTTGATAAACCAACCAAAGGTTTGTAGCAATCGAGAAGCTGCTCTAGTGGATCTTCTAATGCTCATAAAATCTGCTCATAATCACGAAGCCGAACGGAATACCATCAGAAGTCTTTGGGCAAACAATAGTTGTTGGGATGGCCGAACAGTCCGCCATGTATTTCTGCTCGGATCGACAGATAACGTGACCTGGACCAAACGGATAGCCCGTGAAGCCAGACGATTTGCTGATGTAATCCAACAAGACTTTCATGATGACTATTACAATAACACACTTAAAGTGTTGTTCGGGTTACAGTGGGCACTCTCGTTTTGTCCCGAAGCCCAATGGATTTTATTTGTGGACGACGACGTATTTGTAAACCCGCGGAATGTACTAGCTCTACTGAAAAGCCTAGATTTTCGTTTTTACAGGTCGCTACTTTTTGGAAATCAGCGCACATTTCCGCCAGTAACCCGGGAAAAGTCAAAGTGGGCAATTGACGAGGATATCTATCCTCATGACTACTATCCATCGTACGTGAGTGGTGCAACCATATTGGTTGGTTCAAAGTTGGCAATAGACCTGTATATCGGGTCTAGATTTACCAGGATGATCCCGTTTGACGATGCGTTCTTCGGATTGGTGTTGAACGCGTTGTTGCTTATTCCGGTGCACCTAAGAGGAATCTATGTTGATGACTACTCTGAATTAAGCAAGCTGTCAAGAAGTCGTCAGTTCACAGTACATGGGGTGTCTTCACCCCTCCGGCAACGTAGACTTTGGATACAAATGAGAGCCTCTGAAATGTGTTACCCACCAGAGAATCAAGTCCATTAGACGGATTGGAGACGTCGACCATGCAACGGCGAGCAGTTCATGACATTGACCGCTCCATAGTTTCTTCTAGATAATTGAAAACCGGTCAGATGATGCCGACCCGGGGGAAAAAAGGAGTCCATCCCACGGAAATTCTATGCAACGGCGAGCAGTTCATGACATTGACTGCTCCATAGTTTCCTCTAGATAATTGAAAACCCGTCAGATGATGCAGATCCGGGGGAAAAAAGGAGTCCATCCCATCAAACGGAAATTCTGGGGCCATCAAGGCACCTAAGTTGTCTCTGGTTTTCAGTAACTTCGCTCTGCAAAACAACGATCGTTATGACTCGGTGTATTTCGTCGAAGCTGGAAAAAATAAAAAAAATTCTGGCTGACTTACTTGGATTCGATAGAATGTGACCAGACGGTCCTTGGTTTTCGTAGGTTTTCGTACCAGCTTAACAATCATTCAGAGCTATACATCTTCCAGCTTCTTATAGGAAAATGGGTTTTCGGACATTTCCTCAAGCACTTCTCCGGGTACTGTTGTCTATCTTGAACGTCCAAACCCACTATAATACGTTTTGATTGGACGTCCGGCAAAAATTTGTGGAAAGTTTGTGACGTATTATGACCAGCTCTCCCACTCTACGTTTCCCATTTGTTTATCTATTCACCTTAGGGATTTGGTCATGAGAGGCTGACATGAGGTCTTATTAAGGAAGCAGCAAACTTTCCCTATATGACACCTCCGATTCACTTCTGGTTACGGCCACCTGTACTGCAGGCCTCGTGCAAAGTGAATCTGCAACCTATCTCCGTCCACGTTTAGGAAATTTGATTGCTTTGATAAGAGTCATCGGAAGGAATTTCGAATGCTCTGCTTTCTCGGGCTTCATTTTGATGATAAGTGGTCCATAAAATGGCCTATTTATTGTCCTTTTGTTTGCAGCCAATAAGAGGACTTTTAAATGTTAATCGGAATATTATTTTCCTCTGTCCTGAAGAGCCCAGAACCACCACATACGTGCTTTATCTCTGTTAAGCCTATACCTGTTACCAAACACCAGAGAGGTTTGAAACCGTGGCTTCCTGGTTAGCAGCTGAATACTCCCTTGGTCGGAAGCAACTGTGTGATCAGTAAGTGGACAACTTAATTTCGAGCATATTATATATATATATATATATATATATATATATATATTCGTGTAGGTTGGGTTCACTTACGAATGAAACGCGGATATTATATTTCTAAAGGCAGGTATGCTTGCACAATTAACTAACTGAGCTGACAGCAAAATAATTTACTAATTTTACAAATATCCTAAGGAACAGCATAGCTGTCAAAAGACGTACATGATAAAGTAACTCTGACATCAATGATCATATATTTTGTTTTCTCATCCGTTTCAATTGGAAAGTCCTACTTTTGACTCGACCATTCGGTTTCGTC